ATTACTCTATTTAAGAGACTAGAATCAGATTATAGGTTTATATAAGTTAATATTTTGGGTACTGTGCTATTAAGACATTTCTGTTAAATGTCACAAATCACCTTTAGCTTAGGATATGCTTGTTTTCCTGGTGTATAGTATTACAGCTTTCTCTTCTGATGATGTCTGTCATTGAGATCCCAAATGCCATTTTCAAAACTTTTAGTTCAGATGAACTCATATATTTTATGTTTGCCAAATTCTGGACTTTGTGCAGAGAAACTATTTCATGCATACTTCTTCACATGGTCAGAGGCAATGTGATCACCACACTTGAGGAAGGAGAATTATTATTCCCATTTCAAATGGATGGGTATCATGTGGAAGGAGGAAAGAGATGGGGATTCACACCACTTTCATTGCCTCTGCAGTTTGCTGATACCACTCTCTCTCCTGCATTCTGTACACCACCATCCCTTGAGAACTAAATATTTAGGTTTAGTAGGGATGTGGAGCTCTATATGGAAGTATTTGGGGAAAATGTAAATTGTGATGTTAATGGCTTCTTGTCCATAAGTTTTGTAAGTCCTTCCTTAACTCTTCTAAGTAGGTTCCCCTTTTTCCCTTTCTACTGGCTTAAATATGTTTTATTCTTCATCTTTGCTTATCGTGTAATTTGCCACACCCTCACCCCCATTCCCTTTACTTATTCTAATGTGTTCAGTCTGAAATCTAGGAGATTGAAGTACTGTGTTAATCCTACAAGTGATGCAGTCATCTGTTTGAAATCTCCTTTGACTCCATAAAGTCTGAATGCACAAGAAACAGTTTGGAAAAATATCCACAGGAAAAGTGTGTGACCTCTTTGACTAGAACATATATGTCATTAGTCCTATTTAATATGAACAACGGGGACAAAAGGATTGAGTGCAGTTTCCTACTCTACTTACTTTGTAATACTTCAGTGCAAATATGCTTAAGTAGAAAGGAAAAAAAACTTATCAGCAGGAATGAGAGATGTGTTTCTGCGTGTATGTTTTCACACAACCATCATTGTGGCTGACTTCACAAAGTGGAACACCCAGTACAGTTTGTCATTGGTGACCTTAAAATAATCATATAGAAGAAAGTACATTACCCAAAAAAGATGTAAAGAACACATAAAATAATCCTGGTTGGATTTAGCAGATAAAATTTAGGGATGTGCTGTTTGCAAACATTTTAGCAGCTGGAGATTAGCTTTACCTATGATTCTCTTTTCATATAGTTTAATCAGAAGGATTTAAATCATTCCGCTTCTGCACTACAGTTCTGTTGATATTTTTGGTCTAGAGCCTAGACAGATACAGTCATTTTGGTGAAAATCTGAATGCAAAATAAAAAGTCCATTTTCATATTTACTTTGCAGAGAGGCTGTAATTAACACTGTTTATAGAGCCCTTTGCCATGGTCTGCACTTAAACGTGTGCCCAAGCCTGCTCATACAGTGCAGTGCTTCAGCACAGGAGGGATTGCTGGTGTTGGAATGGACCTTAGGCTGTCCTTTACAGCCTTTGCTGTGGCCCCATATAGAGATCAGAGCTTTTGCTTCACTACAAGCAATATCTTATCCTAGGTTCATTTTCTTTTTCTTTTCTCTCTCTCTTTTTTTTTTTTAAGGCCTGTCTAAACCATGTTTGTAAGTGTTACATCTACATGCCTTTTAATTACCTTCAGAGATGGTGACTCTACCCCTTCCCTGGGCAGCCTGTTTCAATGCCTGGCCACCCTTTCAGTGAAGAATTTTTTCCTAATATCCAACCTAAAACTCCTCTAGCATAACTGGAGACCATTTCCTCTCACTGTGTCACTTGTTACCTGGGAGACCAACCCCCACCTATCTTTACAGCCTCCTTACAGGTGGTTGTAAAGAGCAGTAAGGTCCCTCCTGAGCCTCTTTTTGTCCAGGCTAAACGCCCCCAGCTCCCTCAGCTGCTCCTCATTAGACTTGTGCTCCAGTCCCTTCACCATCTCTGTTGCCCTTCTCTGGACACACTCCAGCACCTCAGTGTGGGATCCCTCTAATGAGGATCCCACAACTGGACACGGAATTCAAGGGGCAGCCTCACCATAGTAGTTATTATCTGAGTGTATGTTATTACATTAAAAGATTATGTCTATTCTTTGATACATCATCCATCTCTGTATTAAATTTCAAAATTAACAAATTCCTTTTATGGCACGTTTATCAGAGGGTACAGGCAAGTGAATATGTTGCTCTGAAGTCATCCAAGTCAGTCAGTCAGCTGATTACTGTATGCTCCAGTTTTACAGTGATGAAGAAAAGCAGCACTATATGTATTAAAAAGTCAGGAAAAGAAAATATATGGTAGCAAATACATTTTAGGAGAAGAAATCCATCCCCATCATTATCTGCAGACTGCGTAGCGCATTTGCAGCAGTGAGCAATTCAGTCAGGTACCAGGGATGCTGAGTTTTACAAGGGAGGAGTTGTGAATCATGTGACTGTGATACATTCTGTTCAAACCCATTGCTCTTACAATGTCTGGAAAGAGCAAGACATGGAGGTACATCTAACCTAGTGCCTTGTACTGGGGTGATACTTTGCCAGGTAAAGGAATCTCCAGATTATTTTTGAATCTCCAGATTATTTATTGGCCTCTGCTGTTTTTGCAGCCGATGAGATGTAACTCTTGAGAACAACATTAAAAGGAAGGTGGAAATATCCACAGCACCTTTTTCCATTTATACAGGATAAAAAATTTTTTCTGATACAGACTGATATATATTTATATGTATATATATTCTGATATAAAGACTGATGTTTTGGTTTTGCCCCTGACATGGTAGGATTTGGATTGAGACACCCAAATCTACCTTAGCAGTTAATAGGGGCAAAATTTCTCTCCTTGAATTCTGTCATGAGCAATTAATTAGCTGTACTAAAATTAATTACAAAATTGCAGAATCATTTAGGTTGGAAAAGACCTCCAAGGTCATTGAGTCCAGCTTTTGACCAGTCTCCACCCTGTCAACTAGACTATGGCGCTAAGTGCCCCATCCAGTCGTTCCTTGAACACCTCCTCCAGGTATGGTGACTCCACCACCTCCCTGGGCAGCCCGTTTTAATTACCTGAACCATCTGACAGATGGAATAAATGGTGCCAACTGTTTCTCTTCAGCTAAGTGAAAAATAGAGTGACAAAGAAAGGGTGGCAGGCGAGCTTCAGGCTCAGATGTGCCCAGCTGGCAATCAGAGAGGAAGGGAAGGGGTTGCTCCCACTGGCTTGAGGGTACTGATAGCATTGCTCTGCCTACTCCTGACCAATGGGTGTTCACACACACTGATGAGCATTGAGTACAGCTCCTTCAGGAGATGCCACTCTGTGACTCTTTATCTTCACACACTTTTATGACTTGCAGACCAACAGTTTAGGATAGAGAGTTTTAAGTCTGTAATAGGATGTTTATGACCAAGGCAGGTGTAAATGTGTCAAAAAGTTAATAGAGAATGCTAAATACAAAGGCAAGAATATCCTCACTTGTGTAGGTTGTTCTCAAACTTTGGAATAAGACTGTGGTGAAGAGTTTCTGTTTGATGTGAGGCAACTTCTCGTGTTTCAAAATCAGAGGCAAAAGATGCACGCAGCAGTGTCTGAGTATATGTAGACTTCTTCAGTTTTTCTGACTAGTGGACAATTTTGATTAATAGAACATTTTTTTCTTGACTGATAAATTATGACCACTGTCATATGATCCTAATGAAAAAAGCCTTAGCGGTTTTTCCAAGGCAGTTATTTTATAGATAGATGAGTACTGGTAAGAAGCTGATCTGCAAAGTAGCACCCAGTATCTATCAGGGAGAAAGGCCAAAAGGGAGGTTTTGAAATATTATGGGGGTTTTAAGTCTTTTTCTTACTGTAGTTTTTTACTGCATTTTTGTGTCTTATGGGAACATAATTTACATATTTGCTCACAAATGTTCTTACTAATCCCTGAATCAATGCTGGCGAGATGCATTTCTCATTGAAGCATTAATTTATTAGACCAAAAGCATTTTAAAAGGCAACTTTTAGAGGAAACCTTAGTAAAAACATTGTGAAGAAGCAGATAACTTCTTGTCCTGACATAATCACATCATTCAAATTGCAGTTGTCAACCCTAATGAAAGGTGGTGATGCTGATTTGAGCATATTGCTTATGTGATGTACAAGAGCTTTGGGAGATAAGAAATCCCTGTTGCTATCATTTATAATTAAAGTGTCCATCACTTTTCTCTGAAAAACTGCTTGACAAATGAATAATTAAAGGTCTGATTCTGATATGCTTAGTTGAAATGAGACTTCTGAGAACAGTCCAAATGCAGTAAATGGAATTTCTTCAAAGTAAGGTTTCAAGATAAATAATAGTGTTACAATCTCAGTCAAAGGCAATTCTTATTTGTTGAGCCAGGAGGGTATTCTGTGTGCTTTAAAATCTAATCTCACAGGCATCTGAAGCTTCCTGCTTACAAACAGTGCCTGATGTTGTTTATCATGTTATCTTTTAAGCACAGTAGAAACTGATATTTAAATTAATGGGTACTAACTGTTCCCTGCTTTTTCAAACAGCCGAAGATAAGTTGTTTATCTGATGGTTTGTACAGTATGAAGCTTTTTAAAGCCTTATGTTAACTAATGAGTTAATTTAATTGCAAATATGTCTATTTCATGGAACATTTTTCTTTGATTGTTTCACTGAATTGATATTTAAAAGAACAGTTATGCAAAAATGATGTTTCTTTTCATAGTTTCTAAAATAAAAGCTTTGAGGGAAATTTTTTTTAAAATACAAATGATTTCTCCTGCTTCCATTGTGTGCCAGTAATAACCTTGCTCCCAGAGTAGTTGAAATAACTTGCATACTGTAGATATGCGAGTCCCTCACAGTGTTGGCAGGGAGAATTTCAGTTGATTTGGTACCTTAAAATTAACCTTTTACTACCGCATGCGTATGTTTGTCATTTATCCCCTTTTTCTCAGGTGCAAAGAGGGCTACCAGGGAGTCCGCTGTGACCAATTTTTGCCGAAAACCGACTCAATCTTGTCAGATCCAAGTACGTCAAATGTTTCTCTTATATTTTTAATCCACGCTAGAGGCTGTTCTTGCCATGTGAGATGACCCTTTGCCTGTTGTCAGAAAGTCCATACTGTGGACCACTGGAGCTGTTGGTGTTGCTCTTGGTGATAGGACAAAACCACACCATTCAGCCTCTGTTCTTATAAAATATACGCTGCTCCAGCAGGGCAGCCTGTCAGAGGACTTGATTCCTTATGCTTTGGAATAATACTGTCCTTGCTTATAGCAAAAACATTCATGTTTCTCTACTTTTGACTCAAGAATAAATAAAATTACATAATATAAAAAAGAAAACAAATATAGACTGCAAGGTGGTTCCTTCAAAAGAAAATAAATTCATATTGTCTGGTGCTGCAGAGATTATAATCTCCATGGAAATACTTTATATCAGTGTGCACAATACTCAATTATGTTTCACTTTGACAAGTAAATTTGCTGTGTGTTTGCAGAGTAAAGGTGTACTTTCAGGTAATAATGTGGAGACCAAGTAAATTTCTATTATACTGATCAATATATGTCAGAGTAAAAACTGCATGTCTCTGACTCCACTGTTGCCCTTTCTAAATAGTGTTGACTAATAAAACTATGTCAAAAATATTATTCAAGATGATTCTTTTGGAAGTGAATCCATTTACTAAGTAAGTGTTTATCTTAAGTTTTTTAATGAAGTGACATACAACAAAGGGTCATATCCAATCTCTCGGTTTTGTTCTTATATCTGGAAACTGTAATGTATTAAGTCTTCTGGTTTTGAGTGCTCTTTAAAATTTGATTTGAGTTGTTTTGTTTGTGTTTTTTTAAGAATAATGCTTGTTTTTTTAGTCTTTTTTGTGCTTTCTGTTCATTTCCTTGTGCTTTTCCCTGTGAAAACCTGTTGCCAAAGGCACCTGTTGTTTTGTAGTTCTCTGTGTTGTATAGCTCCCATTATAGTTTGCTTTGTGTTTGGTTTAGCTTTCCCTTTTGCTTGACCTTTAATGATAAAGAGCAGAGCTTAAAGTTAATAGGCAGATTTACCTCTGCCAAGTTTTATGTGCACATGTCAATATGTGTCAAGGAAAAAGGTAGTTTGTATATGTGTATATGTCAAGGAAAAAGGTAGTTTGTATCCTAAAAGTGGGGGCAAGGGCAATCAATTAACAATAGGACAGGGTGGTACCTGTCTGACATGGTTTTCACAGGGAGCTCTAGCTTTAGTCTCTCAAAGTAGAGATGAAGTCCATATAGATACTATACAAAGCCCAGAAAAGGCTCCCAGATTAAGCTGCATTAACAAAACCAAAAGCCCCATAGTGTTTATCTACTGCAGACAGTGTTGTTGTTTCTTTGCAGCATTGTGTTGGTTGTACAGACTTGCTTCTCTTTATTTAGGAAATAGTTGCTTACACTGGTGGGGTTCTGACTGCAGTGTTTCCATAGCGTTTTTCAGCCACTTGATCCTGCTAAGCTTTAGTTCTGCTGAAACATCCTTTTTGCACTTTCTGACAACAAAAGCTTTTTTTTTTATTATTATTTTATTGAGGTTTTCTTTCAAAATTGTGTTATTTAGGATGTGTAAGAACAGGAGACTTTGCCTTGATGCTGCAGTAGATCCACTGGCCACACCCATGGCCCAAAAGAAGACCCTCTTTCAATATAAATGAAGAAGGTTAAAATGAGTTAGGTACTTTTCCAGTCAGTTTTGAAATTTAACTTATATTTAAAAAGAGGAAGAGCTTCTGTTCAGTTGCATTTCTGTGTGTTGGCATAATATATCTCTGTGTATGTGTGTGAATATGCACGTGTTCTAAGCATGCTGAACCCGAAAGGGAGGTAATTGACCTTTCTACTGCAATTGGACATAACATAACATTTTGTTCAAGAGTTAAATCAATAATGTGTTTATCGTCCTTCTGGAGAGAAAAAAAAAATAATACCACACTGATGATTAGCACTCAGTGGCCAAGGTGTTTGCTATTTGCATAACCTGAGGAGTGTAAAAAGTATTTGACACAGTAGCCAAGCACAGTATGATCATCTCCAAAGGCTCTGGGGTTGATTCGCAAAAACTTAGTTTTGTGGTTGAACATGTATTTGGATTAGGAAGAGAACTGCTGAAGGGTGAATTTGGAGATGGCTTCATAGAGAAGCAATTTTTTAAATGCAAGGCTTAATTTCTAAAAGCTGAGCACTGAGATGGGTGCTCTTGTGTTTGGATTCCACGTAGCCAGACTGACACCACTGACTGATGTCAGTCAATCTTTATGAACAAGTTTTATGAGATTGCTTAGGGGGTTCCTGGTGGTTAATGTGCTGCTAATGATGCATCTGCTTACATTTAGCTTATTTGAAGTTTGCATGCATGAAATAATGAAGCAATGTTTCTATCTTACCTTGCCTGTGATAGCATAGGTTGCGTTTTCACAACATACCCTTGTCATTAAAAGGGAAGTGAATTTGGACCACAGTCACTTGGAAAATAGTAACAATATTGTTATAAAATAGTTACATGCGCCAGAGTGTTTTGATTTTTCATTGGGTTTTGTTTTTTTTTTTAATTAACCTACTAAAACAAACCAAGGTTTTTCAGCATAGCTATTATCTACATATTATTTGCATAGCGACATCAGTGGTTTTAACACCAGCTTCTTACCTAATTTTCGATGTATATTAGGTAGGTCTTGACTTTACATCACAGATATGAATACAAATTATGTAGTACTTTATATGGATTAATATATGCTAGATCATGTACATTTAGTTTAATTAAATGAACTGGTTAAGGTGTTTAGGATTCTATTTTCAGGAAACCTCTTGAAACTACCTGATGGTGTTTCAGAGTTCCTGAATTGGCATCTATGGCTTCTTACAGTCAGATCTGCCACCTGCTAGCTTCCCTGAGCTCAGAGTTAGGATTGAAGTCCTAAGAAAAAAAAAATGTGCAGCACACATAGAACAACATCAAAACACTCCAAGCACAGGCCCTTCAAGTGGACTTTTAAGCATCACTTCCCTTAATATCTCCACTCTTAGCAAGGTTTTCTGGCTATAAGAGAAAGATGTTAAGAACAAAAAAATCCAAACATAAGTAGTTTGAGAAGTTTGTTAATCTTGGAATATGGGAGAAGCCTACTTAAACCATGGGAGGAGCCATAAACACATGGGAATCTAATGAAATTAATGAGGGAAAAAATGCTGCGTGGCAATGCAACCCATGCTCACAGACACTATCAAGAGGAGGGAATCTGTCAGCCATGGTAATACTGTGCAGGACAAGGCCCTGAACTCTCTCTGTCATCTTCTCCATCATCTATGGATGATATAATAATGGGACAAAAAGAACAGAAAAAGCAGTCGCATGCTGGAAGGAAAGGATAGGAATATATTTGGAATGTTGCTTCAGCTTTCTTCATTTGTGCTAACTTCTCTATAAATACAATTAATGGCAGTGGTAGAACACTTACATTTTCAAGATTATAAGTACAGCTTTAACATAATTTTAGGTAAAAGTAATTTTACAGGCATGTGTAACTGTAGGGTTGAGAGCTTATATACAACATAAATTGTACAAATGTGCTCATGTACTATCCTTTATAGTGTTCTGGATTAGACCTGCCTGGCCCAACGAGTCTTGAAAGGTAAGTTGTATGTAGGCTGCAGATATTTCTTTCAATTGGTTTTTGTACTGAGGCAAAGTGTAACCTTTTAAGCTTTGACTGTTTTGTGCTAATATTCCAAAGCAGTGAACAGGGCATTGAAAATGGGTTTGTCATGTTACCTCATTTTACCAAATAGCTGAACTCCGCCTTCAAGTGCTTTGTCCTAACACAGCAGTGACAGATACTGTCCTGTGCAAAATGTGTATTTCAGCTTTATAATGTCCAGTATTGATTTTATATTTGCCAAATCAACATTCAGGTTGTTCCATTTGACTCAGAAGCATAAGTAAAGAGGGATGCCCTATCAAATACTGGGAATATATTATTATTATTCAGTCTTTTCTTAAAATAAATGCATTATTTTCTGTAAGAAGGAAAATAGGATGGAAAGCTTATAGGTCACTAGGCCATGCTCCTGCTGTTGCAGTCAACTCCATCATGTAATTCCTTCTGTAAGCTGGTCATACTTCATTTATAAGCCACTTCTAATCGAGGTTAACTAGCCACTCGAAACAGAGTTTGTTTATCATCCCTGCTCTGAGGATTTCAAGACTTTTTAGCTTCCACACAAATCTTATGCCCAAATTTATCAGTTTTGTTCTTTGTTAAAATGCTTTGTTTCTACATTGATATTTTTTTTCCTCTCAGTTTGCACAATGTTGTGCTCTGGGTCTGTTAAACTGGCTTTTTCAAATGTCAGAAGTCTTGTTCCTATGGAGTTATGTATAGCCTGTAGTCTTTTAATCCTTTAACCTGTGACAGCACAACACACATCATGTTTCTCTTTGATTCTCATCAAAGAGAAACCTGCAAGTGTCATGTCTGGAATCTGTGGTTACTCAATCCTAGATTACCTTTTCCTGTAGCAAAGGATCAAAGCCCCTCTCCTGGAAGATTGGGACTGTAAATAAGTAAAAAAACTCCAGATAGTTTCCAAAGAAAAAAAAAATCCAAAAAGATATTTGAAGCCCTAAGACTCCCACTCACTTCCTCAAAAAAAACTCCCCCTCAAAAAAACTAACAAAAATCTTAGGCATTTTGCCTTTTTTTATTATTTTTATTTTATTTTTTATTTCCCCCATCCAGTTTTATATAGGTAAGATCATCGGATAGTTTAAGTTGAAAGATAAGTGTAGAGTTCTCAGGACAGCTTGGGTGGTTCAGCTTCCTGCTTTAAGCAGAGCTGGATTTGAAGTCTGTGCTAACTGCACTGGACACTGCAAAGGGACTCTTACTAAATAGACAATGAAGAGCATCACAATTGTGAAATACCTGTGGAATTTGTTTTCAAATAATTGGAATACATAAAATGAAACTTCTGTATCCCTCACTGAATTACTGA